GATCACGATCTGACTACTTCGAGGCAGTCCACTTTCGAACAGCGATTAATCTCTGAAAGCATTCTATAACCATGGGTAACTGAGAAATAATCTAGACAAAAAGATATACGACAATACATAAGTTTAGTATGCTCCGAATCGGCAATATGAAGAACGAAACGGTGAATGCATGGTAAGTCAAACGACTACGATACATTCTTTTTAATGTATGAAATGTCTTGCGCAATAATAAGTTATGGACTCTTGATAGGATTGACTTGTAGCATACATACGAAATGATCCTATTAACTTTGATTTACTTCTGTGAACCTATAGTAATTTAGTAACTGTGATCAGGTTTTAGCTGACTTTATTATTTTCATTCTTGTTTATGATCACATATGCTCGAATCATCAAATCAATATTGAACTTAGAATGAAACTCATTTTTAAAAGTGGATATTAACAGCATATAAAATACGTCACTAATATAGGTTATTTATGATAGTACGTCTTTCTGATCAAGGTAAATCCGATATATCCTTATTAAAACATCACTGTAGTGTAGCGCCATCCTTAGCGTGGAATTCATTTTTCATTAAAAATAAAATATATGCGTGAATATGCATTCTAATTTAATAGATTTCTATTACTGTTTCTTTTTCTGATGTTTACACCAAATTAAAATGTGACGTCACTGAGTGCATTTGACATTGATTCTCATTTCTTGCCACGCTTTAAATTAGTAAATCGATAGAGGAAGAAAATGTTTTTACTTTTATAAATTTTTAATATCAAAAACACTAACAAGAAACTGGCATTTCATATGATGAAACGGACATTGAAATTGATGTATTTCAATTTCACTGATTACAATAAACATATCAATCAAGTATATGCGATGAAAAGGATTTTTGTCAAAATCATGGAATTAAATTGATGAAAATGTTTATTTTAATGAGTAAATTCGAAAGATACTAATTTTTATATTTGTTTCATCATTTGAATACATTTATTTTCGATTTTTAAGTCTCTGTCTATCCCGTATAAATCCACAATATGGATGAAGTAATCTATAGAATGTTGTTCTCGTAGATTATTTGTTCTCCAAATGAGCCAATAATACGCAAGAAGACCAAATGCCTCCATTTTAACATCTGTTTCATCGAACAAAATTACTTTCTTTTATCTACACATTTACTGTACACAACAGTAAATAGTGTGATGAAGACTGAAGAAAATCTTCATTTTATTTCATCAGCTTCTCTTTTGTAATTCATTAAATGTTATTACCTATTTAAATTGTAGATTTTAAACCATCCGTCATCTCTTACTACATTTACAAAGTAAATATGGCATCCAACCAAGGCAATGGCGTTAGTATTTTATGATATTTATAATTAAATAATAATAAAAATAAATATATTTTAGACACTTTATACCTTTCCGGGTAATTTTCGTGCTTATAAAGCTCAAATTGCAGCTCGTTATAGTGGAGCAAAATTGACCGTTGCCGGCGAAGATAAATTCAAAATGAATGAAACTAATAAATCAGAAGAATATGTTAAAAAATTTCCAACAGGCAAAGTATGCATAAAACAATAACAATACATGAGAACATAATTATATTTTGTTGTTCAATTTTATTTTTTAGGTACCGGCTTATGAAAACGATGCTGGTGTTCATTTATTTGAATCCAATGCAATTGCTCATTTTCGTTAGTCAATAAATCTTTTTATTTATTTTGAAATCAATCATATTTCATTTATTTAGTATCAAATGAACAACTTCGCGGTAAAACATTAGCTGAACAATCAGAAGTTCTTCAATGGATTAATTATGGTGAACATGAGATAAATCCAACATCAGCTACATTGGTTTATCCATGTATGGGTATTATGCAATTTAATAAACAAAATCATGAACTTGCTAAATCGGAATTACAACATATTTTACGATTACTTAATAATTATCTTCGTACAAGGACATATCTTGTTGGTGAACGTATTACATTAGCTGATATAGCTGTTGCTTGTGATTTACTTTTACTTTTTCAATGGGTATAAAATATAAAAAAATTACATAGTTTTTCTTTATTGTTAATATTTAAAATTTTGGGTGTTTAGATACTTGAACCAAGTTTACGTGATCCTTATCCACATGTAAATCGATGGTTCTTAACATTGATTCATCAAGAAGAATTTCAAGCAGTTATTGGTACAGATTTTAAATTATGTGAAAAAACAGCACAATTTGATGGTAAGTTTAAATTTTGATTATTATTATTCATTTTTTATTTTTTGGAATATCTGTTTTGCTGTTTAGCAAAGAAATATGCTGAAGTTTCTCGCCAGGAACATCCACCACAAGCACAAGCATCTGCAAAAAGTGTCCCACAAGGAACAGATCACGCTGCTAAAGGTGGAAAAAAGAAAGACAAAGAAGAAAAACCAGCTAAAGAAGCAGCAAAACCAGCAAAGAAAGAAAAACCAGTTGAAAAACATGATGATGAAGAAGCTGGTGATGAAACTGAAGATGTTTATGCTAGTGAACCTAAACAGAAAGATCCATTTGGTGATATGCCAAAAACAACATTAAATATGGATGAATTTAAACGTGTTTATTCAAATGAAGATACAGCTGGAAAAGCTATACCATATTTTTGGGATCATTTTGATAAGGAAAATTGTTCAATATGGTTTTGTGAATATAAATATCCGGAAGATTTAACCCAAATATTTATGACATGTAATTTAATATCCGGATTTTTTCAACGTTTAGATAAATTACGTAAACATGCATTTGCTAGTATGTGTGTTTTTGGTGAAAATAATAATAATACTATTGCTGGTATTTGGATTTGGCGTGGACATCAACTTGCATTTGAAGTAAAAGAATAAGAGAAAAAGAAATTTTTTTTTCTTATATATTTATTTGTTTTTAAATTTAGCTTTCATCTGATTGGCAAGTTGATTACGAATCTTATTCATGGAAGAAATTATCAGCTGATGATGAAAGTACGAAAAATTTAGTTAATCAATATTTCCTTTGGGAAGGTGAACATAATGGTAAAAAGTTCAATCAAGGCAAAATCTTCAAATAAAATAAAATCATGTTCAGAAACGAGCACAATACAAGAAGAAAAAAAAAGAAAAGAAAAGAATAGATCGCAGACCATTGTTTCTTTTTCTTGTTTTTTTTACGGATTGTTACATTCGCGGCGTGTGTTACTTGTTTAATCTTCTATGTTTTTCGCGTGTCTGCATGAACGAAAATAAAAAGCGAAGAAACACCTGCAACAGATGAAATTTTGAGAGATAATGCATAAAATCAGGAAGAAAATTCTATATGAATTATTTACTTTGCATTGGAAAAGTTTCATACAATATCATCTTAATAAGCTATTATTCATGTTCATTGTTAGAATAAAAGAATTTCAATATTGACATTGTGATAGTTCAAATTGAATACATAGAAACTATATTTATCATTTTGCTAATAATAATCTGAATAGAATTATGCTTGATCACTTCACAAGAAGCATGTTCTTTTAGAGGAGGCCTCATCGTAGATTTGAGACTGAAATTTATAGTTTGCTATTGAATAGGTGTCGATTTGAATGTGTATAAATGAATTGTGTATTATTGAGTTTAGCAATGTAAAGATAATGATTGAAACATGGATGTAATGTAATACATTATCTACAATATAACTTCCCTACAGTGAATACCTTTCGGACTTTTCAAAAGTGTTCACTATAAAGAGGCTAGGTCTTTTCTAAAAGCAGCTTTTTTAACAAAAAACAGACATCTTTTCTAGGTATTTGAAGGGTGTAACATTAACTATTGCTCATTACGACTTGTCTTTTCATGCATTTTAGTTCTTAAAAAATTAACAATTGTTAAAATATAATAAAATCTCGTGGTCATGTACACCGTTGGTCTTTTCAAAAGTATTCACCATAGAATTATATGATGTTGTCCACTATGGTTAGCTTTCCTATATTTCGATTAGTCTTATCACTAAATAATAGTTCTAAAAATTATTCCTTCATTTAGATGGGACGTATATGAACAAGTTCATAACTTTGTTACTAAAATCTGGATTTGGTATTATCAAAAAAGTTTTAATTTACTCAGTGTTAAACAATGAATAAAATGGATATGATCATCAAGATTAGTGACAATAAATTGCACATATATTAACACAGTTGATATGCAAGAACAACAGGATGGCATTTAGGTTTTAATCGACTGATAAATGCGATACGAAGCTACGAATGTTGATTATCGGAAAAAATCGATATTTTATTAAAAAAAATGAATAATCGTTTTTACGATTTATCGTTCAGCGCTTTTCCCCAAAAGTTTTTTACGTTTTACTGTAGTCAGTAATTTTTGTTATGATACATCGGAAAATTAATATTTTGATCAATCATTTTATCCGGATCAAAATAAAAGCGAAAAGTGTTCATTATGAGATTCATTCGTAAGCTAAGAGAACTATAAACAGATATAAACTTGATTTCTAAGAATACTTTCAATTCATCATTTAACTCTCTCATCTGCTGTATTCACACAGTCTGTAAGAGGTCTGTTGCTATCATTAATTCAGATAATATACGACACAACGTAGTTAAATTTATTAAAGATGAAAAAGATCTGTATTAAGAGTAAGAAACTTCAAATGAAAACAGACGAAGTCAAACAGACTTGCTATTCCTACTTTTAGTTCATTGTCTTAATTATCATTGTTCTTACAAAAAGTTTGTATTTCATTTCATTTCTTTTTAAGCTATGATTTCTAAAACTCTTACTATCAATACAAGATAAGATAAAAAAACCTTAACGTCATCTGTAAAGTAGATCTATTCTATCATATCTTACTGGCGTCATTTGGTTTGATAGTCGTTGTTGTTGTTGCCAACTTACTAAATAAAAAATAAATTGTCATATTTCTCTATTAATATCGAGTATCAAGACATTACAACACATTAAAATCAACTTATCAACAGAAAACTAATGGCTGAAAGTTATTCACAAAAAGATAATGTTGTTCCATCAATACCAACAGCTACATCAGATAATCGTGATCCAAATAATTTAAACAAACATCTTCAAGTATGAAAACATAAATTTTATTCAAAGACATGTAATTTTATTTTATATTATCTAGCTTGATTTTTTCAATATCATTGCTGAGCCTGATCCAAGTGCTTATAGTTTTGAATTATTACATGATATTTCTAAAAAAGTTTATCATTATAGTAAAGTTCTTATTTATCGTCTTTTAACAATTCTCATTGGCTTACCGTTAATGTTGTGTTGGGGTCTTACTTTTGGTATCTATACATTCATTATGATTTGGATTGCTGTACCAAGTCGTCGTTTATGTCAATCATTATTTGCTGAATGTGGCTTCTATACTCAAACAATGAGTGATGCTGTTATTGCTCCACTTTTCCGTGCATTAGGACAAATATATTCTAATGTTCGCATGACTTTATTTAGTCAATCAATTAATTCAACAAAACAAATTCAAGTATAAATGACTAGTTAAAACGAAAAACAGCACACAAAAACAAACAATTGAATATATATATTTTTTTTCTAATGAGGAAGTTCAAGTTTTTTAAAAGCTTTTGTTAAAATATCGTGTTCAGAAATTAATAAATGATCAATTAAATCATTATTTTTTAAGGATGCTATATTTAATGAACGAATAAATAATTGTATACGTGTTTTGAGAAATGTTCGTACATCATTATCTTTATCTAATGCATATATATCAAAAAATTCATCCATTGTCATGTTTTTTGAAAGAACATTTGAAATATCATCTAATAAAAAACAAATACGAAAAATAAAACTAAAGAAACATTTCAATACAACTTTACCTAAATTCATAAGGAAAATTTTGATGAAAATAAATATAGCAGGATTGAATAGTTCATCATCAACGAATAACAGATATTTATCTGATCTAAAATAAAATCATAAATACACATCTTTTATTCTCAATACAATAAAATTGATCGATGTAACTGTATATTAAATTTTAACTTCAGTAAATACTTAAGATAGTTATCATGATTGCAATGATTTTGTTTTAAAATATTCTTTTGAATTATGATTAAGGAAATAAAAAAAAAGCACACGACTATAGATTTTTTTGACTCATGATTTTTATCACGGTATATAGGACACCTTAAAACTGAGTCATGCTGTATTTTTTCTAAAACTTATTCGATCAAATATTTTGAGTCCAGTTTGCATTACCTTAATCAGACAGTATGACACGTGTAGGACCCATTTACGCACTATATTTTATCGTAAACCAAGTCAATGCGTTATTGTCGTTTTAATAAGAATACGACATAATTACAATGTTGCTCAAGTGAAATAAGCACCATTATAAATGACTGTTTTCGATGGTTTTTCTACTGTTGGTAGGAGCAGTATTACTAGTGTTCGATTGTATTGTAAACGGTCAGATACTTGATTTTTAGATCGTTATTAACTGTATATAGCACGATAAAATACAGTCGTAATAGTGCGTCTATCTACAGATCAATGCACAGCCATTTATGACCGCAAACTTCTATCAAGCGACAGATATACAATACCATTTTTGGCCATTATGGCCACTGTAATTCATTGTCCTGATCCAGGTCTAAGACAATGGCGCTGTTAACAATATAAAACTGTGGGAGCCGATGTTATTACGTTGACATTTTCTTTAAGCTCATAAAACGTACGATGAAAACTAATGCAAGCAATACGATGTTTCTGTTGGCCAGAATAATCAATCTGGGATGAGAGTGTATACTGTGATCAGCATTAGGGCACGTTTTGATATTGCATCTCATGATAAACGGCCAAATATTTCGAAATGGTTGTACGTACATAGTGAGTAGGACGTTTTTTTTTCGAATATTTACTGACATAAAGAAAAACTCCCAAATCAATTTAGGTCTTTTTAAATTGCATTTATAAATCTTATTAATTTTTCATATGGTCTCAATAAAAAAGATG